TCCTCTACGGACCCAACAACTAAATGCTTAACAAAATATGATGGCTTATTGCTCAATTGTAAGTCACTTAACAGTGAAACAATAGACCTAATGTATAGTGAATATATCATAAAAAATCTAGAATTAAAACATGATGTAGTTCCAGTGAACAGATAGGCCACGTTAACTTTAAAGGTTTTGTTAATATTAGTCATTTCTGTAGAGCACAATTTAGGGAAGGAGGTGTTGGAATCTGGTGTCACAAAGACTTAGATGCTAATCCAATTATATTAAATCAATTCTGTCAAGAAAAAGATTTTGAAATTTGTGGAATATCATGTAAACCATATTCCTGCAAACCCACCATAATTCTATGTTGCTATAAATCTCCCTTAGTGGGAAATATTAATTTATTTTCTGATAATATGTACAAAGTACTAGATTTGTTAAATAAACCAGGAGTTGCCATGATTGTGACAGGTGATTTAAATTTAGACCCTAAGAGAGTGAGGCGTGTTATTATTCCACATTATGAACGCGTACGGCAGCTTTTGGATTAAAGCAGTGGAGAGCAGGGTTTAAGTTAAGTGGGTTCTTAAAAAACATAAATAAATCGTGACGTGTCTATATAAAAAAAAAGGAAATACAAAGTACAAACCAAAAGATAAAGATTCTTATAATCTTGTAAATGTACAGTAGCTTACCTTGTGGGCGCCAAATGACCTTTTGTAGGAAACTGCAAAATTAGACCGGTCATTTAATCTAACTTAGTTTACGCTGAAAGTTGTTTGAAGGTATGTAAACTTAAAGAGGATATACTATAATAAAATGTATAATTTAAGAAATCTAATCTTAAACATTCCAGTCAAAATTATTAAATTGTTGTAAAATATTGGTATATAAACCAAGTAAAACCAAACAACTCTACCTTTGATACGTATCGTCGGTTCACATTAAAATAGAAATAAGTCGGCTTTTAAACCGCAACAAAAATAATAAAGTCGGCTTTTAAACCGCAAGAAAAATAATAAAGTCGGCTTTCAAGCCGCAACAAAAATAATATAGTAACAGTTCAATATTTAAAAGTTAAAAATAGTATACTCAAATTTACATCCTCCAGTGAGCGGTTGGTTGTTCTTGCTCCGGCTGGTGGCTTCTGTGAAGACAAACAGCGGTGTGGTTTTCCGGTGGGTTGTAGGTCGTCAAATCAGGGAGGTGGCGTCAGGCCGAGTCAAAGACATGTACATGAGACAGTGTTGTCAGGCAAGGCACTGATCATAAGGTACAAGTCAACATAAGGTAAAGTTCGACATAAGGTAAAATTGACCATAAGGTAAAATTTCAACACAAGGTAAAATTCGACATAAGGTAAAACCCTAAAAAGGAGAATAAAAATTGGAAAAAACCCAATCAACGCTAATTGTACTTACAGATTAATTTATCTGGCTTTAGGTAAACGTCATTCCTACCATCTTGTAGGAGAGGGAAAAAATCGTCAAGGCCAAAGCACACACGTCGTAATATGTGAAAATCAAATCCGGGATTTGCCAAATCGGTAAAATACAAAAATGAGCTGATCCACATGCCGATCCAAGTCTGATATAAATGTAAGGAAACATTGGACTGATGGCCCGAATAAAAATCGATTAACTCACCAAGTTGAGGTTATGGCGGAGCACGCCACAGCGTTTTTCTCAGTAATTTAAACGTCGACAAGACCCCATTTACTACGCAATCATCGAGCTCTTCGGTGTCTCTTCTGGACCCTTTCGTCACGATTTAACTGGATTTTTACACTTGAAAAACCTTTAAGTCAAATTGACATGTTGCTCGTCTGGCGGTCAAACAGGAAACGACCCTTAGAAGACTTTAAATTCCTATTGGACTTTCACGCGCATGCGCGCCAATCCCACGAGGAAACTTTTAAAAATGAAATTTGAAATAAAATGAAATTTGAAAAAGGTATATATTAAAATTTAAATAAACTAGATCTGAAACCATTATATATGAAGGAAAACAAAGAAATATATTTAATTTAAAACACTGAATAAAAATATAGGCAACCCGGTTAACGACCGGTTTTGACATTTCAAAAGTAAACAAATGTTCTACATGGCATATTTAAAAGAAACTTTGAGACATTAGCAAGATAGAATAAGTGCCTCTAACGCTCAAACAGATACAACCTATAGCAAGGTAACTTAAAAGGTAAGGTTGAAAACCACATAGATACATTTGTTCGTTTTAAGGTTAGATTATGGAATTTACTGGCAAACTAAAGTTATAAGGAAATCTAGGAACAAAAATGGGCTCGACGCTGCTTGTCTTCACTGAAGTAACATCCGGCCGGGCTGTAAACAAAAGTTAAACAAACATAGGTCTCCCAAACTACAGTACGGTGGAGCATTTGAAAACACAATCGTAGCATTTATAACTGTAAGTGATTAATGTGTAAACGTTGCAGATTTAACTGAACGTCAAACATAATAAGTACAGCCCTAAATAACGTGTTTCCTTACTATAAATCTTTATTTTAGATAAAACTACACCAAAGCATTGTTGTTCTAAGGTTGAAATTATCACGGGTTGTTCCTAGGTAAAAATTTAAATGAAATATTACATGAAACTAATATAAAAATACGACTACAAATGGTTTACTTGATTAAAAACACGTAGCATAAAATGTGCATGCTACAACACACCCCTCCTCGGAAAAATAAAATTTCATACCCAATTAAATTTTATTTTTAAGTAAAAGAAACAAACTAAATATAAAGGTAAAATGTTGACAACTGTGAAGAGGAACGAAGCAGACCCTCGAATATTTAAGCAAATGAAACGTCAGACGGTTAAGTTAAATGGAAAGAAAATTCTCCTTGAAGAGGAAGGATCCTGACAAACCCAGTTACGCTGGGAACAAGTCCCAGAAACAAAAAGAGGGAGGCAACCGGTGGTCCTGTATCTGAAACAGGCCAGCCCTCCAACGAACCGGAAATAATGTGCAGTACATTATTCGAAAAAGTCTTACGGCATGTCGCCTTGACATACCGTTAGAAGAAAAGAAAGTAGGTACTCGGAACGAATTCCGAGTAAGTAAAGGGAATGCCCCAGTGGCCAATTGCGCTAACTGGAACCACATTGGATTGGACTGGGCGGTAGGTGTTACAGGCGATATGGCTTCACCGTGCATGCCATAGCGACAACTCAGTGTCGGCCTGATCAGAATTAAAGACATGCACGAACAAATACACCAAACGGTACAAACCGTGGTAACTCATAGTGTGGTGAAAAGCACGATGTTATTCCATCACCACTTGGATGGGTTTTAGCTACAGGCCGTACGATCTAGCAGTGACTATCGTAGCAACAATTGTTGGGGTTCCAATGTTGGCCTGACGGAAATGATTAAGGGATAATGTTTTTACACAGGGACGCAAAACTTGCGCTACTAAAGCTAACTTAACTACCGCTCTTAAAATCTAACTCTAATAGCTACGATCTCCTCTGCAGAGGAACTAGACTAAATAAAAATATATATATATATATATATATATGTATATATATATATACAATATCTACAGGTCAAGGGAGGCAATTCTCGAAATTTTAATACGACTACGTACCTTACTATAATTCAGAAATTATACTAGAATTCGAACCATAATACTTTTTCAAGTCCTTTACATGGTAATTTCCGGCATTTGTCCCGCTCGCAGACTCGAGCTCATACACAAGCTTAGAGACTTTTCTGAGAGCACATAATTTCGCTTCCAAACCCTCTCGCCGACGGAGAAAACAACATCGCGTTTACGCAGATTGTATTGCTTGACATTCCGCCTGTAGGCTTCATTTAATTTAGACTGTATTGTCTGATACAATAAAGGTAGCTTTTGAAGCTCCTTACCGTAGTTTAAGGAATCTGAAGGATTCGTGTTCAAATCGATAGAGCTCTGATGTACTCCATAGTACACCAGAAATCGGAACATTACGTCCAAAATTTAAAAAGGCTGGACTATATCCAGTAACTTCGTGAACGGCGACCCGAATTGCATGTCCTATTTTGGATCCGCGAGTACGAGTAAAAACATATTCCCCTGATTGGAACGTGGGAAAGGACCCATTATGTCAACACAGACACATTGCCAAGGAAATTCTACCCTCTTCTGCGAACCCATAAGGCCATGCCTACTTACGTTCGACATCTGTTTTCCTGCTTGACCGCCATGTTGAAAGGGTATATTTCTATCAGAGAGGAAAGCAAGGAATTTAAAAAAAATGATCTCCAAGTGTTCAAACAAAAAGAGCAAGATAAGGTAAAACTGTGTTGCTAAGATTAGGTATGAAATTCTATTTTATTTCCGAGTTGCGACAAAGAGCGCAGAACAAAATTTATATTAAGGTAAGGTAATATCACTATAGTGATTAGGTAATGTTATACTTCTTGTATAACGTCGCAATATACGTAGCTAAACTTTGTGTATAGTCGTATCTATGTAGGTAAGTCAAAATTAAGGTTATACTTCGCGTACAACGAGTCGCTAGGCAAGGATACTTCTAGTATACTTGTCTTTATAGGTAAGTCGAGATAATAAGGTAATAATTTGACACTTAGAACAACACCGGTTTGGAAAACCAAAGGAAATTATTTTGTAAACTACTGTACACTCAAAACCACAAGAATCATAAAAACAAAAATTCTTAATTCCCCCTAAACTTTAAAAAAATTTTACTATAAAGAAAATTTTGATTAAGACAGTCAGTAAAAACTATAAAACGTTGGGCGCCATTTGAAGCGGTCAAACAGAAAAAAAAAACAGCAGCAGCACGCAGGGACAAGGTTAATGTATCAAGCATTTCACTTCGATATCAAAAGAAGTAATCAAATAGTAATTTCTATTAAAATAGTACCACTTAACGAAGTTAGCTATAACAAATTTATTAAGATTTGTGATTGCACAGCTTTGTATACTGATAGTATAACATTGCGAAGCATAGAAGACTACGTTAGTAATAAGGTGTGGATGCAAGTATCAAGAAGATACACAGATTTGTATTCTGAAGAATTTGTTTGTAATCTTAGTGATAGTGTTAATTTAAACATTGATTTAGTTATTGATAATATTAAAGAATACTTTAATTTTGAAGTTAAAGAGTTAAGACACCATATAGAATATTCTATAGTGCATTTAAATAATAATATAAACAATGCCGCATCCAACATATCACAAGACAATGTAGCTGAAGCACATAACATAAACAAAGCAGAATATAGCCATTCTTTAGAGGTTTCTGGTGTGACCCCATTAGAATTAAATGAACATTCACAAAAGGCTACATATCAAATGATAGGTATGACTCCTAAAGATTTTATCACAGATCATGGTGCTATTGAATTAGATTTCAAAGCACTCCAAGAAAGATTCAAGTTATATTGCCAAGATTATATGGAAGAAATAACTTTAAATACTAAATCTCTTGCAGTAGATTTTTGTGCTAAAGTAGTTTATTATGTAGGTCCTGAATCAAGATCAGTTAAGAAAACAACTGGTGACAAATATTGGAGATTTAAATTTCCTTTCACTAAGGATGGTTTGACTGATAGATCTAAAATCAGCAAGGTAGTATTTGTTGCCACATATAAAAGTGAAAAAACTGATGTCAAAGATACAACAGAGAAAAACAAATTGATTCTAACTGTAAAGCAAGCCAGTCTGTTAGCAATGGACACTTTTGATAAATTGGCTGTCATTGCCTATAATATGAGTATTCCAAAGTCATTATTTACACCTTTAGCTGGTGCAATATTTTCTAAAAATGACTTATGGTCTATGTCTAAAGAATTATCAAGTTATTTTAAAAAGACTTATACTGAATCAGAGGTTTTGACAATGATAAATAATAGCTGTCAATCTAATGGACATCATCTAGGAAATTCTAATGCAGCCATAGCTTTAGTATCAGCTTGTGTAGCAACTAGGAACATAAAAGATGATAAAGTCAAGTTCTCAATTATATCCAAAATTGGTAAACAATATGTTAAAAAAGGAAAGAATTTTAATGAATTTACTTTTGACATTTTTTCAAAATATGCAACTGGTGGTGTGCCATCAAACATGGAACCTAAGAAATTATTAGCAAGGTTAGAAGAAGTACAAATAAGTACTAGACAGGCAGCAATTGCATCAAAGAATACTGCATTGTCATCAACCATAGAAGTTCCAGGTAATGTAGTTGTTGGCAGTGCTAGTACTAGTGGTTCAACATCTCCAAGCACGGGTGTATATGGTGAATCTTCAGCAGTTACTAAAAAACAGGCTGAGATTATTAAAAAGAAAGAATTAGAACTCAAAGAACTGAATGCTGCATTGGCAAAAATAGAGAAAGAAAAAGATATAGCCAATGCAAAAATTCGTCAGATGGAGAAGGACAAGAAAGGTAAACAAGATAAGGCCCACGTTGGGCGCCATTTGAGGCGTGTTATTATTCCACATTATGAACGCGTACGGCAGCTTTTGGATTAAAGCAGTGGAGAGCAGGGTTTAAGTTAAGTGGGTTCTTAAAAAACATAAATAAATCGTGACGTGTCTATATAAAAAAAAGGAAATACAAAGTACAAACCAAAAGATAAAGATTCTTGTAATCTTGTAAATGTACAGTAGCTTACCTTGTGGGCGCCAAATGACCTTTTGTAGGAAACTGCAAAATTAGACCGGTCATTTAATCTAACTTAGTTTACGCTGAAAGTTGTTTGAAGGTATGTAAACTTAAAGAGGATATACTATAATAAAATGTATAATTTAAGAAATCTAATCTTAAACATTCCAGTCAAAATTATTAAATTGTTGTAAAATATTGGTATATAAACCAAGTAAAACCAAACAACTCTACCTTTGATACGTATCGTCGGTTCACATTAAAATAGAAATAAGTCGGCTTTTAAACCGCAACAAAAATAATAAAGTCGGCTTTTAAACCGCAACAAAAATAATAAAGTCGGCTTTCAAGCCGCAACAAAAATAATATAGTGACAGTTCAATATTTAAAAGTTAAAAATAGTATACTCAAATTTACATCCTCCAGTGAGCGGTTGGTTGTTCTTGCTCCGGCTGGTGGCTTCTGTGAAGACAAACAGCGGTGTGGTTTTCCGGTGGGTTGTAGGTCGTCAAATCAGGGAGGTGGCGTCAGGCCGAGTCAAAGACATGTACATGAGACAGTGTTGTCAGGCAAGGCACTGATCATAAGGTACAAGTCAACATAAGGTAAAGTTCGACATAAGGTAAAATTGACCATAAGGTAAAATTTCAACACAAGGTAAAATTCGACATAAGGTAAAACCCTAAAAAGGAGAATAAAAATTGGAAAAAACCCAATCAACGCTAATTGTACTTACAGATTAATTTATCTGGCTTTAGGTAAACGTCATTCCTACCATCTTGTAGGAGAGGGAAAAAATCGTCAAGGCCAAAGCACACACGTCGTAATATGTGAAAATCAAATCCGGGATTTGCCAAAATCGGTAAAATACAAAAATGAGCTGATCCACATGCCGATCCGAGTCTGATATAAATGTAAGAAAACATTGGATTAGGACTGATGGCCCGAATAAAAATCGATTAACTCACCAAGTTGAGGTTATGGCGGAGCACGCTACAGCGTTTTTCTCAGTAATTTAAACGTCGACAAGACCCCAGATACTACGCAATCATCGAGCTCTTCGGTGTCTCTTCTGGACCCTTTCGTCACGATTTAACTGGATTTTTACACTTGAAAAACCTTTAAGTCAAATCGACATGTTGCTCGTCTGGCGGTCAAACAGGAAACGGCCCTTAGAAGACTTTAAATTCCTATTGGACTTTCACGCGCATGCGCGCCAATCCCACGAGGAAACTTTTAAAAATGAAATTTGAAATAAAATGAAATTTGAAAAAGGTATATATTAAAATTTAAATAAACTAGATCTGAAACCATTATATATGAAGGAAAACAAAGAAATATATTTAATTTAAAACACTGAATAAAAATATAGGCAACCCGGTTAACGACCGGTTTTGACATTTCAAAAGTAAACAAATGTTCTACATGGCATATTTAAAAGAAACTTTGAGACATTAGCAAGATAGAATAAGTGCCTCTAACGCTCAAACAGATACAACCTATAGCAAGGTAACTTAAAAGGTAAGGTTGATAACCACATAGATACATTTGTTCGTTTTAAGGTTAGATTATGGAATTTACTGGCAAACTAAAGTTATAAGGAAATCTAGGAACAAAAATGGGCTCGACGCTGCTTGTCTTCACTGAAGCAACATCCGGCCGGGCTGTAAACAAAAGTTAAACAAACATAGGTCTCCCAAACTACAGTACGGTGGAGCATTTGAAAACACAATCGTAGCATTTATAACTGTAAGTGATTAATGTTTAATCGTTGCAGATTTAACTGAACGTCAAACATAATAAGTACAGCCCTAAATAACGTGTTTCCTTACTATAAATCTTTATTTTAGATAAAGCATTGTTGTTCTAAGGTTGAAATTATCACGGGTTGTTCCTAGGTAAAAATTTAAATGAAATATTACATGAAACTAATATAAAAATACGACTACAAATGGTTTACTTGATTAAAAACACGTAGCATAAAATGTGCATGCTACAAGAGATGCCAAGTTTTTTAATGCATTATGTAATATATTTCGGCTTTAACAGTATTGTTAGTAAAAGTACTAGAAATGGTTATACCCTATATCAATGTCGTGCAATTGGATTATATTTTGGATCATAATAAAATTTCAGATCATACCACAATATTATTTAATACAAAGCTTTTAAACAATAAAAATAACTTAAAATCACTTAAAACTAATAAGAAATCCATTTTATCCAGATAAAATTAATCAATTTATAACGACCTAAAAAATGAAAACTGAGAATCTGTGTATTGCGAAAATTATTTTCAAAATTCTTTTAATTTATTTTATAACACACTTCTATATTATTTTGATTAACACTTTCCAAAAAAAACTATTAGTTTAAACAGATATAATATAATAATAATAATAATATCTGAGATATTGCAATAAAAATACTGGGTAACTTAACTACCTTAAAAACATACATTCAGACTTAACTTAAAACTAAGCATTCTCTTTTGATATCAAATGCAAAAAAACTATTATTAAAATAAAATATTTAACTCGGAAAACCCTACAAAAGCTGCATGAAACATCATTAAATCAGCTCAGAATTGTGGAAAATTAAACAAAAATATAACAATAAATGATAATAAAATAATAATTAAGGATCCTCAACTTATTTCAAATAAATTTAAAAACTGTTTTATAGAGGCTCCTTTAAAGATTATAAGTGGCCTCTCTTCTAATTCTGATTTTAATGACTTAATATCCAGAAATCACAAATATATCTATCTGTTTCCCTTTGATAGTGTTGAAATGTTAAGTATTATTAAATGTAAAATTAAACCTAAAGAAAGTAGCGGACCGGATGAAATTCCTACTAGTAAATTTGTCATTCCAAACAGGTTGTTTTCCTGAGAAGTTTAAAACCAATAAGGTTGTTCCAATTTTTAAAAAAATCCGACAAACAATTGGTAGATAACACAGGTCCACAAAAAAGTGGTCTGTGCTGGGTGTTCGACAAAGATTTTCCGACGTATTAGTTAACCGCTGAATACGAATTTAAAGTCAAAATTGGGGGTCAAACTGCAAAAAACGGAGAAAAATAAAAAAACCGATAAAATCCACGATCTAATAGTATTTTCAGTATGTTATTATCAAATTACAGTTTCTGCTTGTTTTTCTCTGTAGTATCCATCAGTGATTCGCAAATATGTTTGTTTGCCGCTTATTGTGTCTTATTTAAGTCTTTTATCGAATGAATTTTGTCTTTGATATAAAATAAGACGTTAGGACATTGAATCGGTACATTGACCGGCAAAAACCTGCTACCACAGAGTGTTTGAACTACGATGACAACTGCACTTTAACGAGATGTTTAGAATGATTCGCTAGTCAAAATTTCGTGGTATCAAAGCCAGCGAAGGCGCGCTGTTTTGCAGGGAAGCGCTAGAATATGAGAATGATGCCGTAGTGTGTCCGACGACGAGTTGACATTGTCCTCGTCAAAGTCGGAAAGCCCTCATACTTAGACCTGAGGAGGTATGAGGGCAGGGGACTCATCTGCGATCGGGCCAGGTACTTTAGCGTGCGGGGTTTGTTTATTTTAACGGATTGTAATGCTTCTTCTACTCAAAATTTAGCTGAATCTTCTAGTACTCATGATGATCATGAATGCTTTAAGAATCCTAATCTCTTTTGCTACGTTTGTGCAAAATACATTGGGATAAAAAATACAAAGAAACTCACAGATAGGTTTGTGACTTTGTATGAAAAGTGTTTCAATATGGAAGTTTCTCTCAATTTAAAAAATTGGATACCTAATATTGTTTGTGGTTCATGCTATAATATGGTTAACCAATTTAAGAAGCACCAATAAACTCCAGTTATATGGAAGAAGCCTCTCGGTGCAAGTGATTGCTACTTTTGCACTACAAATGTTGAGACTGCGGGCCGAACCCATAAGGACAAAACTTCGTATTCTTCTGTATCAAGTGTGCAACAACCAGTTGCAAACTTGATAAAAGGTTCAGAAGATGATACGTCACAAGACAGCCTGACCAGTGGATTCGATACAATGGAAGTCGACGTCGATCCTGAGAATGAAGCTGTTAATGACGAAGAGTCAGTGAACCTTTGGCTTTCCGTAAATATTTTGAAAAAGAGGAAGATTTGCTTTATTGCACTGATGTGAAAGGACTGAAGGCGGTTATTCCGCTGAAAAAGAAAAAATCATTTTATTTTTTTCAAAGAAGCGTTATCTAGATCCAAGGAAAAAACGTGTTTTTTGACTCTTTTTTCAGTCACTGGCAGAAATCTCGTGAGCGGTTCATCCAACTAACATGAATTATATATCGTTTGATATGTATATTCTTCTTCTTTTTGACGATATACTGTTGGTTTCAATAAAAATAAAATTTATTGGGTTAAAAGTAAATGAAAAGTTAATTTTTCAACCTTTTTTAAAAATAACTCATATTTAGTTGTTTCTTAAGTATACAAACAATTTTTTGATATAAAGTTTTAGGATTGCAGATAATTTTATTAAAAACATATAAAGCTTAAGTTTGCTTAAATAGAACGAAAAATGTCGAAGTTATGGTATATTAAGTAAAGACAGACCAATTCGATATTTTACACAAACACGTTTGTATTTACAGTATTGTTTGGTTTTAAGGCATAAATGGGTACTAACAAGAGCTCATTCGCTCTACATAGTATACTGTGACCTCGCTATCCCCTCCCAACTCTCTAACCCCCCCCTTTGTTCACACCTCTACCTGAAGGCCGTAAGATTAACTTTAGTATTTCGCATAACGCGTGTGTTTTACGAAATAAAATTAAAAGGTGCAAGCACTCACTAGATAAGTTTTGTTTTGTTTGTGGTTTATATATATTTAACAAAAGTTCTCAAAAAAAGTTAACCAAAAACCTTTTAATTGCGTATAAGCATTATTTTGGTTTCCAAGCCAGATTTGTGGATGCATTGTGAACTCCAAACTCATTATGTGGCACGTGTTTTGTAAGATTAATTGAATTTGACAAAGGCATAAAGAAGTATTTGTCGTTCGGAAAGCCAGTTGAATGGAGAAATCAGATTGATCATGTGACTGATTGCTACTTCTGCCTAACCAAAATACAAGGAGGAAAATTTCGTAAAGCTGTTTATCCCGACGTACAATCAGTTACAAAAGTTGCACCCCATTCGTCTTGGTACCCAAAACGAGAACCACCAGCACCTAAAATAACAACAGAAGTTTCAGATTCAGATCTTAGTGCCAGCAGTGATTCGGAGATAGAAAGTCGGAAACTAAAATTGATGAGTCAAAGCGCACTAAACGATCTATGCCGTGATCTCAACTTATCAAAAGAAAAATCTGAGTTGCTTGCTTCATGTTTACAAGAATGCGGATATTTGGAATCAGAAAGACGAGTCACGTATTATCGAAATCGCAGCAAGATATTTGAACAATATTTTTCAAAAACAGAAGATTTTTGTTACTGTCACAATGTAAACGAGTTGTTTGCTGCATTAGGAGAAAACCATGTTACGAACGAGTGGCGTCTTTTTATCGACGGCAGCAAATATAGTATAAAAGCTGTTTTACTTCATAAAGGTAACAAAAAAACATCAATTCCAGTTGGTCATTCCACAAATGTCAAAGAAACGTATGAGACGATGAATAAACTTTTTCAACTGATAAATTACAATTTGTACAAGTGGAAGATATGCTGTGACTTAAAAGTCGTCGCTTTACTAACTGGTCTGCAGGGTGGGTATACAAAACACGGCTGCTTTTTGTGTCTCTGGGATAGCAGAGCAGGTGAAAAGCATTTTACCCAACGCGATTAGCCAAGGCGTAAAAAATCATATCATAGGAAAGAGCAACGTTGTTTATAAAGCACTTGTTGACAAAGAAAACGTTATTATTCCACCGTTGCATATAAAACTTGGGCTAATGAAAAATTTTGTTAAAGCCTTCCCAAAATTTCAACAGAAAAAATTAAAGCGGGCATATTCGTTGGTCCTCAAATCAAGAACTTGTTTAAAGACACCGAGTTCACAAAATGCTTGAGCGATGCCGAGACAAAAGCTTGGAATGCATTTTATGACGTAGTTCATGGTTTCCTTTGAAATAACAGGAGCCCGAATGATCGCCAATTAATCCAAAAAATGATGGAAAACTTTCATGCCATTGGTGAGTATAAACTTTATTAAAGTGTATGTGGTAAAATCTATAATTTTTTTTAAAAATAAACGATTTAATTGATTTTAGGTGCGCGCATGTCATTAAAAATGCACTTTTTTCACAGTCATTTGGACTCTTTTCCTCCAAATTTGGGAGCTGAGAGCGATGAACAAGGAGAGAGATTTCACCAAGACATCGCACAATTAAATATGAGTGACTTTTATTAAATGTAAAAAATACATATTTTTTAAACTTTTATTACCTGCAATCCAATATATTTTAATACGATTGGTACAAACAGCATATCGTCGGAAAGAAGAATAACATACCTTTCGAACGATATACAATTTATGTTAGTGGGATGAGATTTCTACGAGTAACTGAGAAAAGATCCATAAAACACGTTTTCAGATTGGATCTATATAACGCTTCTTTGAAAAAAAAAAAGTAAATTTTCCTTTTTCAGAGGCCCATAAAAACTTTTTCTTTTAGGTTCACGCGATGAACTAAAAATTTGTAAACTAGTGTAATAGAGAAAATGGTAAAGGAGGAGCGGCACTAATATTAAAAAAATCACACAAAAAAAACATATCTGAATTAATTTAACCTTACCTAGCTTATAACTTAACCTATTAGTTAAGATATTCCAGAAGAAATCTTCTTTTTAAATTCTTTCCAATCAAAATTCAGTTCACTAAACATCTCTAAATAATTCCGATAAATTATTTTTATCGCTAAAAGTCCTAATTAGTCTTACTAACTCTCTAACTCTTCCAGAAGACTCCCAAATCTTGCTATTAGTCTGACTTACTAAGTCTTATTCTGAGTTTTTCCGACTTAATAAGTATTATTCTGACTTTTTAAGAGAAAGTAAGACTTTTAGTACTTATTTTTTACTTATTAAAACTTTTTCAGTTAAAAAATTCCACCAGGGGTGGTTTCAATAATTAGTTGACTAAAAAAAGCTAGCCGGGCACGTTTATGCTTGACGTCGGATTATTACAAGAAAAATCCTTTTTTTATGACGAACAATTTATTAATAATATTATAAATACCTTAACACCTTCCATTGAACGGTAGTCAGAAACTTCACTCGAAAAAACTGTACTGGCACTCTAATCACGGCGCGAAATTCTAGACACTCTAAACACTTTCCAGCTCCGTCTCCGAGACAAGTAATTTTTAAATACATATGCACGGACTGACTCAAATTTTGTCACAATACGCAGTGGTGCCCCCTGAATGGTATTATGTGGTACCACTCGAAAATTTGGATTTTTTTTTTCAATTTTGGCCAGTTTTTTCGGAAAATGGCCACTGTGCAATGGACCAAATATACCAGGTTTAAAAACAGAACATCATTTTAAAAAGATACTAACCACAAAGTGACTGTTGTCTGTAAACTCACCAGATAATTGCTGTATGATAATTTTTGTTTAAATGAAAAAATAAAGCTATTGTCATTGGAAAATAATTTAAAAAAATATGTAATATTTATGAGAAACCTTGTAAATCAAGTATTTTTAACCCTAAAAGCATGGCTTGTAAAGCAAATAACTGTAAAATGTGTTAAACTTTCCTTTGTAGAATGGTTTGCTATTTTCCCTTACTTTATAGAGAAACTTATAATTAGGTAATTATTTAAATGTTTTACCATTTACCATAATAAATTGTTTTATACTAGCAAATTTTTGTCCAAAATATTGTAGAAATTTAATTGTTTTAAATGTTAAGAACATTAAAAAAAATTAGTGGGCATAGATATTTTATTTAAACTTTTGTTTTAATCTTCCTTAAATATTTTTTTATTTTATGTTTTATGATTTATAATTTTAGAAATGGATAATTTTTGCGTCGTAGAGTTTAATGATGGGGCGCGAATGGTTCCTGAAAATTGGATTTTGGGAAAATATTGTTATTGCCACATTTTAAGTTTTTAGTTCCTCACGTTTTATTAAGGCATTTCAATCTAAAGAAGAACCTGATTCCACATGGTCGCTTAATTCTGTGGAAATATTAGAAACATATGGTAATATATGTTTAATTTGCAATATACCTAAATATTAAGTATATTTTTTAGATTGTTACGAAACAGCCAAAAAACCTAAAGTTGGCAGAAGAAAGAGGTGATTTAGAGTCAAGTGATGCAAAGTATGCTAAAAAAAAGAAAATTTAATCACAAAAAAATGTCTCAAGTGAACCTGATGATAGCGATGAAGATTTTATTATTTTATTGTTTCTCAAACCCCACAAATAGTTTTGAAACAAAAAGACTCCGCTCCAATTATTTTAACCTTGCCAAATTATAGAGATATTAAAGCTAAAATACAATTATATACGTACATAAATTTATATAGTTACATATACATATATAATTGTGTTTTAGCTGATTTTAATGAAGTTATATTTTAATAATATTAAATTATTAAATTAATATTACAGTGTTTTACGAACCACAAACAAAGGTTATGCAACACCTTAGTAATGAAACACCAGGGACTTCAAAATCGGAAGATTTCACTTCACGTAATTTAACATCATCAAATAATGGAGGACACAATTTGGTGAAGTCATACAAATTTTACATGGGATTTTGCAAAAAATTTGAACAAACATTTTTCAAGTTTCCCTTGGCAACTGGATCCTGCAGAACGCGCTGATAAGATATTAAGCTTAAAATTTGGTATGATTAAATGAGTCCGATTTTAAATTTTAGCTATTATTTAAAATAAAACTAATATAGGTGACATTTTTAAATTCTAGTTATAACAGTTTTTATTAATTAAAAATTAATCATTTTACTTCTATTAAATTTTTCAGAAGAAACTCGTTTTAAAAGTACCTTTACTGAAAAGGATATAATTGACGCAAAAAAAAATTGGCTCCGGCATGCCAAAACTGTTTAAAAAGTTTTTAAAAAATTCATAGCACCTTTAACTATTATGAGTTTTTACCTTTTACTACTAAGGAGCAGATAAATTCCCACCCATGCGGACACTGTTAC